CCAGGCAGTTCCCAAGCAGTGTAAGTAATCCGGCCCACAAGCACTTACGTAAATCAAATTTTATGCTGGTGAAAATTTTTTTTAAGTCAGACTGACCCCGCCATACCACTCAAGAGACCTTATAGCAAAAAAAGTCATGCAAGAAAGAACTAAAGAACAACCAAGTATAAATGTATTTTCAGAACAGGCTGTCTTGAGTTAACACTTCCGTAAACTCGGATGTTATTTGAGCAAATCTGGCCTTACGTGTGTCAGTTTTACACAATTTGAGAGCTGCCTGTATACTCTATGTGTAACTTATTTGCGTCCAAAACGAATGGCACACATACAGCTAAGAGAAAGAAGAATAGGGGACCGCAAACAGGACCAAACAAACGTCACCCCGCAGCCCCCTGCTTCCTGGAGGACGCTACTGCTGGAATTCAGGAATGGGCATGCTGTGCTGGCCTGAAACGGGGGCGAGGGGGCGGACAGGTGCTCCTCATGCCTGGGCTGTCCGTCACAGGGGGCCATGGCGGGGACAGGGGCTGGGGTGCGGTGGGTCACTGTGGCTCTTATGCCGTCTTCCTGCTTCCAGGCAAGCCAGATTCCAGGGCCCACATTACAGCCAGCATGAGGTAGGCCTTGACCCAACCTGGCCCCAGCCTGACTCCGCCTAGGTCCTGTCCTGAGTCCTGACTCCACCCAGCCCCCACCCTGACTCCGCCCAGGTCCTGTCCTGACTCCGCCCAGCCCCCACCCTGACTCCACCCAGGTCCTGTCCTGACTCCGCCCAGCCCCCACCCTGACTCCACCCAAGTCCTGTCCTGACTCCGCCCTTCACTCACATTCCCACCCTATCGGAATCTTAAAAGCAGTTAAAACCGACAAAGACGCCGCCGAAGGGGGGGAGATCCTTCACATGGCCGAGCTGAGACCCTCCAGGGTTGGGAAAGCAAATTAAAGCGATTAATCAAACTTACGAGGGCTGCCTCATGCCTTTTAATTATTCAGGATGGACACTGCCAGCGCGAGACTCGATTTAGGACCTTAAGAGGTATTAAAAGTGAGAAATGCATCTTAAATAAAAGGCGACACGGAGAAAGGGGATGCGTTTTAGAGTCCTGTTATTCAAACCGTAACTAATTCGAGAGCTGGCAGCGTTAGAAAGAAACCGAGGGGGGATCACAGTGACTCGAGAGGCTTCTATTCCTCAGGGAACATGCGATTAGACACGCCGGGTTCTGCAAGCGGCATGAGGCCGACCCCTCTCTTGAGCGGGTTCACGTGTGTGTGAACGGAAGGTCAGGCTGGATCCTGCTTTCTGTCCATTAGCTGATTTTTGGCAAACGAAAGAAGCTGCAAGCTCAGTTCCTTAACCATGACGCCACCTACAGGGCATTCCTCGACCCCACAACAGTGATACCAACTAAGCTTGGAAGGGACCAAGATCACTTTACAAAAACGCGAAGCCTGCAAAGCACAGACAACATCACTCTCATCCACCCACAAGGGCGGACACGATAAAACAAGAATCAAGTAACAGACACAGATGTTTACATCCTTGTCTGACCGTTATCCATGTGAAAGAGCTGCTCTCCACCCAGACAGCGCCATCACCTGGCTGGAGGTCTGAGCAGGCCGAACATCACCTCCACCTCTGGAAACACACAGATCATCTCCACCAACTAGAACCAGCACTGTCCAGAATCAGCAGACCTTCATCTCGCATCACCAGGAGTCAAAAACCTGTGAGGTCAGGAACCCTCTGCCCCTTTGGATCTACACCATGCGATTGATGCGATTTCAATTACAATTACAATCCATTCTAACTTGATTTTCAACATGCTGATTTGAAAGACTGAAAAAGAACAGAGCAGTAATATAATCTGAAGGACGACCTACAGCTGTCTGGTGAAGGTCCTGGTTTCGATCAAGGCACTGAACTGGCAGCCATGCTGGCTCCAATCACCGCACTGAGCAGGCAGCCATTTTGGCTCTGATCAAAACAGTGGCACTTGAGCCTTTCCCTCTGGAATTATGTATGATGCCATTTCAGAAAATGAGGCATTATGGAGAATGTATTAATATAAATGCCTTGTATCAGGGCAAACAGCTGTCATCCTGGCAGACTCATTAAAGCAAACATGAGTGATTTGCAGGCGATCAGGCCATGTCAGATGGCTGACCTCAGAGGGATGGTCACTGTGGATGACAAGGCTCCCGCACTGACACTGCATTTAGGATCCCTTTCCTGGGCTTCACTTGCACATTAGGCAATTAGCCAAGAGCTAATAGTCCAAGAAAATTAATAAATCAACTCAAAGGGTAACTACAACAGCTGGTGACCACGGAGACGCTATGCCAGGAGGGGAAAAAAATACATTAAAAAAGAAAGAAATCGCAATCTATCAAGAGAAGGTCAATTTCAATTTGTGCTGTGCATCTGCTGAAGTTCCTGAGTTCTTCAGCTCATTTATTTCGGGAAAAACGACTCGATTGTGCCTCCTTTTCATTAAATTTGGCTGAGACAGAGTGTGACATTGTGTTACTTGATGCTGGATGTCCCTTTCGGCGTGTAACTATCAGTTCTCTGTACTGAAAACACCTGACCACCGGTGTTTGAGGGAGTCGTGTTCCTGGAAGCTACGTCAGACATGGGGGACACAAGCACACAGGTAACGTCTCTGAAAGACAGCGAGTCCACTCGATATGCTGTCCAGATATACTGCACGGCACCCCCAACCAGGCAGGAGGGTCACGTAATACTGACCGGGACACCATTACGGGGGGGGGGGGGGGGCAGCTACACACCACATGCCGCTACACACCACAGAGGATCAGGGCAGCAAAGCACTTTTCACTGGTCTGCAGGACCACGTTTGGGGGAGGGAGGGGGCGTGAAAATGGCACGTTGATCGCAGCATGCATGAAAGAGTGGGGAGGGGGCTTCAGTGCCCGCAATCTCTTCACAGCATGAGGCACAGAGATACGTGGAAACCGAAATCAATCATCTTTTCTTCTAGGAGGAGACTCAGAGAGGCTGTCATTTCAAGCGGGAAAAGCGGGGAGAGGTCACAGCCTGGCCAGCAGGAACCGGACTGGCATCAGAACTGACGTCACCGTAAATTATCATTACTATCAACTAGCACTACCAAAGAAAGAACGCAGCAAAAAATATTCTCGATATCAGAGGGTAATAGGCCTAAACAAAATGATGTTCAGAGTATTTTGGGAGCTAACTTATGGACTGGGACTCCAAGCCTGGATACTGTGTCAGTTGTGTTCTGTCAGGAGAATGTGTTCTGAATAAAGGCATTTTTTTACCAGTGGATCAGGAACCATACAATCTGTAACCCAACACCAGCTCCAAAAGCACCTCTCACACCAGATGATCTGAAACCTTTCCAGCCCCCTCCCCCCCCAGCCCAAAAGTACTTCCCGCAGTTTCCCTAAATCTCTCAGGTTTATGGATCTGCAGGACCGACCGCTCCCCTTCCTCCACGTGGGAGGCTCCCATAAACGCTTCTCCAAATCGCCACTGTGTCTCCTGCCAGGAGATCCGGACCTCACTCTAACGACCAGCCAACCCGAGCGACCCGGGTAGAAATGCTAGCAGCACTGCAAGCAAGCAAAATAAATGGAACTGGGATTCAGATCTATTCAGACAGAACCGATCAATTTAACGTAACATAAAAACAGCAGAAACGCGCTTGGTAGCTGCGCTGCATATTAACTTGGAAAACTGAGGCAAACGTGATTTAATAACTAAAGCTGTGGCGCTTTGCATTGCCTAGACTGCGCCATCCGGAGATCACGCACAGTATCTCCCGTCCTAAAGGTTTACTTGGATAAAAAAAAAAAAACTGTGTCCCGGGGGATCCGCTTTTCCCCCAGATGCTGCGGAATTTGTTCACGTCTCTGCAAAAGCCGCAGCCGCAGCGTGGAGTAAAAAGCATCGGACATATGGCTCCAAAATGCTCAATTTCCATGGAGCAAATGGCCTCCCTAACACCCGTCTGTGTTTTTATTAATTCAGTACATGCCTCGGGGATTTTTTTTATTACTATTATTTTGTCTGTAAAATTCGAAGATCTACGAAGAGACCAAGGTAGACGGCATAAAGAAGCACTTTTAATCCAATGAAGACTAATAAATATAATTATTTTTCCTCCCCACCTGCTTGGCCGGCACGATTAGAAACAGATGAGTTAAAGGCACTGTTTTAATAATCCCCTGGGGTTTATTCCCCAGACGTACAGCTACTTTTTAAACTCATACTATTACACACAAAGAGATAGCCTACGGATTTAACATTTACGCGATTGAACTCGTACTTATTAAAAATATGCAATTTCAACGCACAAAATTATGCATCCTACTTCCGATCCAGGGGTAGTTTCACTGTCCAGTTCTACCAGAATTTAATGAGCCTTAATTAAGCTGCAGACTGATGATAGCTACGAGCAGGTCCCTTTGAAACACACGGGCTGCCGGCCACTGTCACACATCACGGGGTGTCACCGGTGCGACAGCATTTCAGAACCGCGGTGCCCGCGATCGGACACCTACTGCTGCAGCTTTATCTCATGCATTACTGGACAATGCGCTTATTTAAAGCACATTATTATTATTATTATTATTATTATTAATAATAATAATAATAATAAATTGGTATTATTGTATTGTTAGTATTAATAAATTGCCGTTATTATATTTGATAAATATTTGTTTTAATTGTCATAATAATAGGAACAAAAGCAACTCGTTTCACACCTGCCAGCGCTAAAGCATCGCGCAACAAATTAAGCGAGGCGAGCGGCTCCATGTCTCCGCATCCTGAGGTGTCCAGGCTCGGTCCCCGACACCTGAACCGGCGTACAGTTCCTAGGCTGTCGGCTGGACATCGAACGTTACATTTACGTCTTCAGCCACCCGGTGCCCTAATGCCCCAACATGTGCACCGCAGCGTACTAACCTTAGATTGCGTGTGGGGGGGGGGAAGCAAACAGGAAACTTACCTTTGCTGGGGTGTTTGGACGGGGCAGACGGGTGAAGCAGGCTGGCACAGGAGAGCAAGAGGAGCAGCCCTGCTCCCCACTCCGCCATCACTTTTCAGAAGATTAAGGCTCGCAGGGGGGCACAAGCGGCTGGGATCCGTCTGCAGATCCTCCGTCGGTCAGAGTCTCTTACCCGTGATATGGGAAAAAACATGCGGAGCCGGCTGCGTGTCTGTAGCTGTCCGGATGAAACATGCAGCCAGGCAGCCAGCTAGTCTGCTGGGACCGGGGGGAGGAGATCAGATGGTCCGTCTTGAACTTCTCTGGAGGTTAAAGAAAGCCTGAAGTCAAGCCATTGATGCAAAGAAGACACCCTCAACACTGCGAGCTGGGGATTTAGGAGAAAAGCAGGACGGATTAGCGCGAAAATAACATCAAAACCGGGAATCGTGGCACGAGGCGGAGCGAAAGCACTTTTTAAAAGCCGACCCGTGGTAGGAAATGCAGTCACTACCACTGCCTACAACCGGAACGAAACGGAGCGTGGTGGGGCCGTGATTCGGGCTGGGTGTGCGGAATAGGCGGCCTGGATTAGGGAAAATGCCGGACTGGATCCAGCTGAAGCAGAAACTACGGAGCGATTTCTCCAGGATGAGGACTGCATTCCCAGCTTATGACGGTAATAAATGACATTTGTGTGTGTGTACAACGAAGAAACCCTAAAACAGTCATTTCTTATATCTAAATATATAGACAATAGAGAAGCTTTTCCTTGTATTAATTCATATTCTGGAACCTAAACATCCAAACTGATTATCCATGTGAAGGTGTGAAGGAGTCCTGTAATGGAGAGGCAGGGCTCATTAACGCACATAAAACACGAGCTCTGCGATCCAGGGAAAAAAAGAGAAAAAACGGAAATATTTGCACTTCAGGTCAGTCTGTTAGTAAACATAATGTGTTTTACTCTGATGTGTTTACGCAAAAATGAGGTAAACATGTACGATTTCGGTGGAAGCAAAAACTGTTTTCCAGGATACTAAAGGGCAGGCGTTTCACAGTACACAAAATATCCAGCTGGGATTTCGCACAGTCTGGTTCTAACGCATCGCATCGCATCTGTCTGAATGGGCCACCCAGAAGCCGCAATTAAACCACAGAAAAAGTCTCACGTCCCCCCAGCACACGCCCATGCCCGCTCCCGCGCGCACACATACGCCACAGTAACATGTCACTGCAGTTTTAATGTAGTCAGTATCAGCCGTCGACATGCAGTAGTGTTGCTTTGAGCTCCCAATAATGATTTAGAGCTTTATGCAAAAAAAGATGCTACAGGACACCTTAATGTTTTAATAACCTAAGTCAAAATTTATAATGTAGCTAAAATAATATTAATTTACATATAAGTACTACGGTAAGTTGAATAGAGGTAACAGATGAAAATGGGGAAGAGTGTCACCTGCCGGCTCTTCTGTGTAATTGCACAAGACTGTGGTATAATTATATAAGGCACTTTCCACTATAAACTCGTTTTACTGTCTATCATGTGCTTTTTCTTAGGTGCTTTGGAAACCGTGACACTTACAGAAAATATTAAATCTGTATAATCTTATTACATAGTGAAAAATATCTGCAGAAATCTTTAACGTAAATGATATATATTGTAATTATTTTATGTTATAAACGCGTTGGACACTTAGATGTGGTATTGCAGTTCATCACAGGGATGAGAGGATTAGACCACCGCAGTCAGCGAGGGGGTGCCTAGATGTTCAGTCCATCCAGGATCAGTTATGAGAAACAAGGCCAGTCATAGGTATGGGAGGATGGGGGGGGGGATTTCACCATGGCAACAGGTAAAGCTGTCAGTTGAAGGAGCTGGTCAATTAAACAGACAGGAAGTCACCTCCTGTTTGTTTAACAGCTTGGCATTTTTACCAAAAGTAGTCAATTTTACCTCAAACTCAAACGTATAGCAGCCATTTTTTAGTCTTTCAATTCTGACTGGGGTTCCATAATCACAAAGCTACCTGCAGCCTATATTAGACAAACAGCAAAGCAGATCCTTCATTTACCCATGTATCCTAGGGGAGGACAGGCCTGATTCTGGAATAATGGTGGGGAGGGGGGTTGTGCATTTATTTCATTATCAGACTTCATTAATTCACTTGTTTAAAAACACACTGCAGGATTTTTTCCAGCATCGTGCCTTCCTAGGAGTACAGCTGCCTTCCCAACACCGGGTGCATTCATACAGCGTTTGGTTTTTTGTTTCAAACAGGAACTCACATCTGTTTTTAGAAGCTGACAGGCCTGGAGGAGTAGCTCAAACTGAGACAGAGTCATCGCCTTTGGTTTCCCGCTGCTGCCCGCTGAACCATTCTGGAATTTTCTCCTTTGAAATAGACGCCGGAATCAGAGAAAGTCAGAAAGTGAAATTAGTTTACATTAACTGGGAAAACCTGTGTGAGGCAGACTCCGGGGCTACACTATGCTGACACACGTCAATACAGCTGTTTTTTAACAGACATACATAATGCATGCTATGGGCCGCAGCCTGTCATGGTCGTGGCTGCGAGCTCACGGTCACTGAGTAAATCCGCTTCCCTCCATCTCTAGTTTGTACTTGGGGGGGGGGGGTTCACCGTGAGGTCACCTCCTCAGGACGGAGTCACCCGGGGCAGAGTGTCGGAATGGCACACCTCACGCACGCCTGTGCACAGTAACAGGCAGTAGGTGTCAGAGTGGTTGGGGTTCCCTCTTCCAGGCCAGTTCCCTTTAGCTGACCCAAAGACAGGGGTCTGACACCCCCCAAAACAACCCCATGTATGATAAAACACCATTCAGAGAAGCTTCCATCTTGATTTTGCAGACAACTGCATTTAAAGCAGAGAATGTAAACGGAATGGATCAGAACAAACAGAGCCGAGAAACACAAATTCAGCAGCAGTTGTGATAAGTGTGTTGATTTACCATAGATATGACTTATGGTTGAGTTACGGTTGCTCTGTGCACATGACCAAGTTCTTTTTGTTCTTAAAAAAAAAATCCAGGCAGGAAAAACAGGGGGATCACAGGAGTTACATCTGCATGGAAACACATGGGCTGAGAAAGCAAAGCGGTAGGAGAGCCTTGAGTCCTGGGAGACGTCAGGGTCAAGTGTAGGAGTGGAAGCTGATGTCCCCTGAGATCCTGTCCTCAGTCACTTACAGAGGGCAGCTGGTGAGTCAGGACCATCACACAGGGGAAGGTGAGCGGGAAGGTTCTGGAATGGAATGAACATGCTCCTAACCCTGCCAAATGTTAGCCACTGCCAGGAATAGCTTTTCAAAATGGCTTAACAGGAGTTGCAGACATCTTGGACAGCAGAAGCAGTCCATGTGCAACAAAGGCATGAGAATATAAGCACCTTGATGGAAATAACTAAGGGCACTGAGAAAGGAGCCCTGGGCAGGGGAGGGTGGGACAGCAGTGTGGCCCCCATTTACACACATAAACACACCCTCTCACAGCAGAGGGGCACATAAATCCCATTACACAGACCCCCCCCCCCCAAAAAAAAAAAACTCCGGCACACACTTAAACACTTAACATCACATATGCTTGCACTTAACCAGCAGCTCAAAGATACACCAGCACGTCTCACAGGGGGCAAGGAAACTGGAGCAGGATGAGACAATAGGGAGGAGCTGATCCCACTTTAGGATGAGCTTCAATGTCACTGTCCCTGCTGAAGTCTTGTTCTGTCACACCAGCTTCAGTGACCCTGCTGAAGTCCCGCTCAGCCATATCGGCTTCAGTGACCCTGTTGAAGTCTTGCTCAGTCACGCCAGCTTCAGTGTGTCTGCTGAAGTCCCGCTCAGCCATATCGGCTTCAGTGACCCTGTTGAAGTCTTGCTCAGTCACGCCAGCTTCAGTGTGTCTGCTGAAGTCCCGCTCAGCCATATCAGCTTCAGTGACCCTGCTGAAGTCTTGCTCAGTCACGCCAGCTTCAGTGTCCCTGCTGAAGTCCCGCTCAGCCATATCAGCTTCAGTGTCCCTGCTGAAGTCCCGCTCAGCCATATCGGCTTCAGTGACCCTGTTGAAGTCTTGCTCAGTCACGCCAGCTTCAGTGTCCCTGCTGAAGTCCCGCTCAGCCATATCAGCTTCAGTGACCCTGCTGAAGTCTTGCTCAGTCACGCCAGCTTCAGTGTCCATGCTGAAGTTCCACTCAACCATGCCAGCTTGAGTCTCCCTTCTGAATTCCCACTCTGCCATGCCAGCTTCAGTGTCCCAGCTGAAGTCCTGCTCAGCCATGCCAGAATTCAGCATCCCTGTTGAAGTCCTGCTCAGCCATGCCAGCTTCAGCGTCCCTGCTGAAGCCCTTCTCAGTCACGCAGCTTCAGTATCCCTGCAGAAGTCCCGCTCTGCCACGCCAGATAACATTTTGCTGCTCTATTCAGCAGCAGGAGGAAGACTGGTGATGAGCCCAAATGAAACTGGGAAAGAAACGGTAATCCCAGGATTATCAGCAGCAGCCTGGGTTACATTATTCACAGGCTACTTGTGACATTTTAATGAAACCCAAACCTCTAAATGGACTGTTTGATGTGCTTGTAATTTTGAGCATGTGCATGTTTGTCTGTATGTGTGTTTGTGAGAATGTCTCTGTGTGTTTGTGAGATTGTCTGTGTGTTTGTTTGGGAGTCTGTGTGTGTATTTGTTCATCTGAGTGTTAGTGTGTTTGTCTGGAGCTGTGTGCCTAGTTGTATGCAAACAGACTTCAAATGCAGTCAAATATTTTAATCTGCCATTTCCAAACTAAATCTCATTGGTCCTGACCATCTCAGTGGTTTCTGTGCACCATTTTGGTGGGAATCTGCAATTTAATGAGCGGGGGGGAAGCCAAAAAACAACTTTCACAGGAAAAATGGGGGCTAGTCACTGCATTGTTTGTTAGGCACAGATTTCAAAGTCTTTGGAGGAAAATAATAATGGAGTCTAAAGCAAGAGCCCCCACGCCTGCCCCCCCCAAAACCCCACCCTCATCCTTCTGCGGGCACGGGAAGGCTTAGCTCCCATCTCCGCGGGGGGGCCGGGGTAAACACAGCCTTCAGAACTGTCTCCATCATGAGACCCGTGGGCCTTGCAGCCAGTTGACAGAAGGTCCCCAAGCACGCCGCTTAGTTCTCAGCCGCGTCGGCGTGTGGACTGGTCTCTGATGGGAGACCAGCACACTAAACTGCGAGGCAGGTGCTCTGAGTGCCGTTAGCATTTCCCAGGTTCGTCCAGAACCGTGTGAAACAGCCAGGCGTGAAGCTGGGTGTGTTCTGCAAAGATCCAGACTGTGCCATTTACACCAGGAGCCTGGAAGCTTCCCAAACAGGCTCACCGACATGCCAAGAGGGGTGCCGTGTGTGTGTGGGACTCTGGCCAAACTAACCGATAAAAAAAAAAAACTATCAAAAAAATGTCTTTTAATGCAGTCATGTTCTCAGCGTGTTCCTACCCTCAGAAGACGTTGAGATGTTCTAGCAGAGGGTCGACTCCATGGCCTTGTTGAGAAGAGCTGCTTCAGCTCTGTAATTAGTCCAGCACTCAGGGAGGGGGGGGTAGGGACCTGTTTGCTTATCTTGCCATAATTTCTCATTATGTCTTTACAGAAAAGCCTCCTTATTATTTATTGTGCATCGTTTTCTCTGCCACAACAACCCCTCATGATCAAGAGAGCAGTGTGGTTTAAGCCATCAGAAATTTCGGTGACGTGGCTCGATGGTCATTACCTGAGTGACGGGGTGAGAGCGTTCCAGCTCTTTTCCGCCCCTGTCAGCTGATGACGGGGGAGGGGGTTACGGCCCACAGAAAGTTGCCCTGGCCGTGCCATTTTAAACTGTGGAAGACTGCCACCTTGTGAAACCTCCCCCCCATGCCAGTTTGAAAGATCATCCAAATTCCCAGGCTAGTGCCAATGACGTGGGCATGAGGAATCGGTCGTCTGTAGCTGCGAGACCATCTTGGCAACATGGGTAACAGGAGCAGGAGGGAGTTTGTCGTTTCCAGGGCCCTACTCAAAGTCCCCCCCCCAGGTGATCCATCCATCCATCTCCTATAACCGCACGTCCTATCCAGTGTTGTACCTCTCCAGGTGATTCAAAAACTAAATAAATAGCTAGTGAGCAGAGTCAGAAGATCATAGCTCCCCAGCTGTTTGGCACAACATGCTGCTTCAGTATCTTCCAAATACAGAACAAGTTTATTTACTATTCAGTGACTGTTTGTGACCAACAGGGGACCCCTGAACCCCACACAAATGAATGGTTTGAGTGATGGTGACCAACACCGTTGTCACTATCTGTCGCAAGTTCATAATAACTGTAACTACCATGCCCACAGGTGAACACAAGACCCCATCATCCCGCATGAAGCCCTACTCTTCCCTTTCCTGCTGCTATTCTGAGAACCCAGCCGCCACGCTGAGTTAACAAGATACTCCTGATACCAGGTAAGTAAGGCGGCTGCTTCCCCACATCGCTCCACTACAGAGAGAAGCAGCAGCATCATGGATGGATGGATCTGGGTCGACCCCGTGGGTGGGGATTTAGTAGCTGGCTAAGGGGCGTGTGCCCGCTGCCCCCTCTGGGGGGTGTGGTGAGTAGTGGCAGAGTCCATGCCAAAGGACACAACAGAGGGTCAGACGTGTCAGGAGTGGCAATCCTGAACACAGGTAGACATCTGGCCATGATCCAGGGTTAACACGGGAAAGTGGAGGACATGGAAAAGGACATCATTAAAGAGGAGAACTGCCTACAGGAAAGGGTCCATCTCCAGCAGCCTGATCTCCTACCTGTCCATCCCTCATCCCTAACATCAGCGTATGATCAAATATGATATCTCTCTGAGCAATGCATTGTGGGAGATCCAGCCTTGTTACCAATGGTGACCAGGGAATGCCAATGAGATGTGAGTTCAAGAGCAGCTTTTTTTTCCTGTTCCTCCACCGCATGATGATGCAACTCTTGCATACGTGTGTGCGTGCTCATTGGGACGACGCCATGACCCCCCCACTCCGAGCCAGATGCTGAGACCCCTTCTCCCATAACTCAGACAAGCACCCATCAGCTCTCAGTGTGATGCAACCCAGGAATGGAAAGGCGCTTCCAAAACCCTTCCTCTGGATGTGTAAACATGGTCATTTTTTTTCCTTTGGTTGATTTCTAGTCCTCCCCTATTCTCAGTGCTGGTGATGGATCCCAGTAAGGTACACAGGCATGGGAACCATCCACAGCTCTATAGAACCAAAGAGTAGCTCATTCGGAGAGGAAGGAAGCACCTTCCATCTGCTTATCTGTGAACATAGTATCCAGTGCACTTTAAGTCATTTCATAGCTCTGCCTTCAGAAATGATGCATCATCCGTTTAATGAAACATTTTTTGTTCTAGGTGTTCCTGAACGTATCTGAACACAAGCCATCCAAAAAGAAAGTGAGCAGGTCTCTTTTCCCCTCAGTCTGGAGCCTCTAGATCATCAGTTCTGCATTTTCTGACGAATTTGCTGCTTCCAGAGTGCCTGTGCTGCTTCTTTCACACGTTATCACGCTTCAGAAAACCCCGGTGCTGCTCTGAACATGTACCGCCCCAAATAATCCTGCTGCCGGCATCCAACAAATGAAAACATTATCAATGTTTCACGGCCCTTATTGTTAATTCATACACTGTATATCTTTAATTATTGAGTTGAAAACTTAACAAATTCATGAAATCTCCAGGGGCAGTATCATAAATATGCAGTTTGTACTTTAATTGGCTGGTAAAGACACTAAATACTGTCAAAGAGTCTGGAAAGGAAGTTTATCTGTTCTGGGTAAGAGGTGGCATTGAGAGCTACTGAAATTGGTCCTTATCTAGCACTAAAATGTTGCTCATGTACACCCTAATAAAACCATAATATTTTCCATGCTGGCTCATGGTGCTTCACCTAAAATGTTAAGGTTCAGCTGCATGACAGGTAACATTGTAAGCTGGATTTAAAAAGCCTATGCTAGAAAATGACAGATTGCTGCATCACATCAGAGGGCAATCCAACCTTAGATTCTATCAACAAAGTGTTTATAGTTTATTTTGGAGACGTTTTTATCCATTCTTGAGAAAGCAAGGTCAGACAGTTCCTAGAGCAGGGGTGGGGAACCTGTTCCATGGAGGGCCGGTGTGGGTGCGGATTTTTGGGATGGCCTCTCAATCAGCCAGTAATAAAGCAGTGGTTCTCAACTCCAGTCCTGGGGACCCACTGTGATTGGCTGATTGAGAGGCCATCACAAAAACCCGCACCCACACCGGCCCTCCATGGAACAGGTTCCCCATCCCTGCCCTAGAGCAGCTGAGGGGTTAAGGGCCTTGCTCAGGGGTCTGATAATGACATCATACTACCCAGAGATTTGAACCCGCAACATCCCATCCACAGACATAGCATCCTACGCCCCTGAGCCACACTCAACCCCTAGCTAAAGGCATTGTTTAAATACTGACATGTTTCTATAATATGTTGGCTTTTCTGTAAAATGCCCAACATTCCTGCCCATTCCCACTGCTGGAGCGAATGAGGCGCGTTTTTCTGTAATCAAGAACTGGCGTGCCATCCTCCTGTCACTGCCCTCCTGTCCCTCTGTGCCGGAGCGGTGGTCTCAACCTGCACAGCTGATAAGGGCCCGGCCCCAGCGTGATATGCCAGCCCCTCGAACAGGTGTGGCGGTAAGTGGCCGGGGGGCCTCTGACGCGGTGAGGGGGCCACCACACTGCCAGCCAATCACAGAGGCTGTCTGTGATGACATTCAGGAGGCCTTCTGGAGCACGGGGGAGGGTGGGGGGGGTGATATTCACGGGGAACATGACGCTATGATGACGGTCTGACACACACAGACACACGCTCCCGTTTCCATCTGAGAGGGAACCCTCAAGTCAACTCGTATCACATTAATGCATTTATGTTCCCACACTTCACTCCAAAAGTGAAGACAGTCAGAACCGTAATTTAACGCATGAAACAGACACCTATGTAAGTGTTTACTTTGTGGAAAGTGCCCCACGATGCCTGGTTTTCAGATGTTACTGTCTTTATGAAGACAGTTTGCTATCAGAACAAACTGCTGCTGTTTATCAAGTACCCATCACATTTGAAAGTGAGGCAACGCAGTTCGCTTAATTCCTCAGTCTAGTGGTGTATTTCACTCAAAAATTTGCTGCAAAGAGGCTCATTTTTGACAGAAACAAGACATGTGCCTCCATGTGCATTTACCATTATTGGATTCTTCCCCCCGCCCCCCCCCCAAACCCCCTCATATGGCACAGGGCAGTGTGATGCAGGGCAGTGACCAGCATCAGGATTCCTAAGCAGGCAGAGGTTCACGCCTCACTACGCCGTAGCTTATAACGGCTGTTGTTGTCTATGCAAGGGACAAAGACCCCCCACCCCCCAACATAGAGCCCTCCCTCACCTCCTGTGAGCGCCACACACTCGGGCAGAATACTGAAGTGCTCCAGACAGTAACGGCTGGGATGATAATGAAGAAAATGGGCACCCCCCCGCCCCATCTTGGTTAATTATGGTCTTCCATTTCCCCCCACAGTTACCTGCCCCCCCCCCCCACACACACACATTCAGACCTTTATTCCCTTAATCTCCCCGGCATTTTCCTGTCTGACACCTTCAGCTGAGGCAGTAATTGCATCCTCGTTGACGCTTCAGCGAGGACTTTGACTAATCTGCTGCCTCTTTGCAGTCGTGGTGATGAGGCCCACTATGTCTTACTCAAGGACTGTACCTGAAATGGCTACAGTGGATGACAATGCAAACAGTATATAATTTGCATCTGTAAACTCTGCAAGTTGCATAAAGTAATAAATAAATGACAGTAACTACTTCTGTTCAAATATGTTTTTCCAACGTTCACCCTAATTTAAGCTCACGGCTTAGTACTTGAATGTCTAGTGTCTCCACCCTACTTGGAAGCCTCCAGACAGGCCATCTGTTTGCCAGTGCACTCCTTGCCAAGGTGATTACTTTCTTTACACACCGTGGGTCACCCTGATTGGAGGAAGAGCGCATGACCTTTGAGCCAATGAGAACATTAGACATCTTCCCCTTTTTGGACAGTGTGGATTGAGAGGCTCACAGCCCCTGGCTCCCAGCTGTAGTCCAGTCCATCTGTGTGACGCCAAGGAGGCCAGTCCATAAAGGAGCAGAGGAGCACAGAATCTCATATGGAAACATCACGGCAGCCAGGTTCCCGCTCAGATATCAACCTCGGAACTAGATCCATTCTGTTCTCACCTCGAATTCATAGAATGAATTTGATGGCACTTGAGGGAGGTTAATTTGATCTTGTGATCAGTTGATAAAATGCCTGACATTCATCAAGGGCAATAAATCATTCATGTCAAGTTTATTTGATGAAACAAGGAACCTGTGAGCCACACAATGGGCCACACAATGGGCTATTTCTGTTACGGTGCCCCCTAAACAGGCACTATGCATTTTAACCGTATTTGAAGGGGAAAAATGTATTTACTCACATCTCTCACTGTATTCAGAAATGCAGCTGAACTGAACTGTGACAATGATGCTTTCCTGCCACAGGTCCATCAATATGCAGGCATTAGTCACCCAGGCAGAGCTGTGTTCACACAGTACTACCCCTCATTAAGCTCATCATTTGCACATTTTTAGACTCCCACCCAGGACGCACCCCTGCCTCGCTCTCTGCACTTCCTGGGATAAGCTCCAGGTAACCCTCTACCGGATAAGTGGATGGAAGATGGATGGATGGAACTATATTAAAGACTGCCTGACTGACTGAAGATAGCTGGAGATCAATTTAGTGTTGCTAAATGGATTGTAAATCAGCAAGACATAAATCCAGGGCATCTGCACTGTATGGGATGTAGAGTCAGAGATGCTGCTTCGGCGTATTGGCAGATGGTTACAAGGTGCTGAATCAGGTCTGCACATCTAAGCATGTGCAAAGGTGTGAAACTAGTATGATGAGTCTCTCCTAACTGAACAGATTAACTTCTTTTCACACTAATAACCATGATTAATGGGACTTGGGAACTGTGGACATCCCAACCTTCCATGACCAGGGTGCTGCGTCTCATTTAAATAGAGAAATGACCTCTAACCTCCTTGTTTTGTTCATTTTTCATGTGGGAAATTTTAAAGAGCCATTACTGCCAGCTCTTCGCTGATTTGCAGGTCTCAGCCATTCAGAAAGTATCATGTCTCACCTGCAAGCTCCTGAGCACAGGAACAGCATTTTCTTACCTCAGGGTGCAGGGGGTGTGAGACACACCTGTCCGCAGACGAGGCCCTGTAGAACACAGAGACTCTAGCCTGCTGCCATGGACAGATCTGGGTATAAAGTACAGAGGATTCAGACAGCGATAGGAATGCTGTGGATACAATTTAGGACAAAAGAAAAAATAAAAACCAGAGCAAAAAAAAAATCAGACAGAGGGGAATCCAAATCAGACAAAAAAGATGTACAAAATCAGACAGAGAGGGAAATCCAAATCAAAGAGAAATAATATACAAAATCAGACAGAGAGGGGAATCCAAATCAGAGAAAAAAGATGTACAAAATCAGACAGAGAGGGGAATCCAAATCAGAAAAAAGATGTACAAAATCAGACAGAGAGGGGAATCCAAATCAGAGAGAAATAATATACAAAATCAGACAGTTAGGGGAATCCAAATCAGAGAAAAAAGATGTACAAAATCAGACAGAGGGGGGAATCCAAATCAGAGGGAAATAATATACAAAATCAGACAGAGAGGGGAATCCAAATCAGAGAAAAAAGATGTACAAAATCAGACAGAGAGGGGGATCCAAATCAAAGAGAAGGGAGAATATAAATCTGAATACATGTTTATACTGCTTTTGAGTAGCCTAATTTTAGCCTAATTCTTTGTAGCCAGTTGCTGGGATCAGAAAGAAACTGAAGTCGACCTCAAAGGAAACCTTAATGTCACCGACTCCTTACTGCCGTCCAAGTGGAGATCTGAGCTTGTGGCACGCAGATGCTTCTCCACCACTTCATAAGGGTAACCTTAATCTCTCAGACTGCAGTCCATGAGGACAGGAGCTCCCAGCACATCACTTCAGAATGAGGAGCGTGGCGTCTCTCGAGGCCAAGCAGGCGGCCCAACTTCAATCCTCCATTACAGGAGGCTCCACCTTTACCACACAGCTATGAGGAAATCAAAGAGCTGCAGCGGAGCCCAAGCTCCGATCTCCTATGCTCTTTGTACTGTAAAGAGAGACCTGACAGTCCTGTGCTCCAGATAAGGCTTTACACGACTATCCTCCCTGGATATGATCAAAGAATCAAAGACAAGGTGGGTTTAGGGATGGATTAAAATCTATAAGCTCCATTTCCGCTTCAGGTATTCTGGCCAGGGGTGGGGAACCAAGCTCTACCTGCCCCCATCTCACCAGGACTCTCTAGTCCATCCAGCAGAATTTACCAGAGGTATTCCAGAGGTTTCACATCAATTTTTAGACCTGTGGTGTTCAGGGTGAGCTGTGATTCTCAGAAATGGGACAGAACCCCAAAAGGCAGTGGGTACCCCCAAAGAGGTGCTGAAGCACCTAGATGGATCTCCTGGATGAAATAAGCATGGGAGTTATTCAAACATGGCAGTCATTCACTTCTAGATGCTTCTAAATCGGCACAGGCTTAAGGTGGACAAAGGACACACTGCAGCCAAACATGGAAAATTCCAAAAAACGAGAAAATAAAACTGCAGCTCTGAGCGCAGTGACCTCTTCAGGCCACAGATACCAGTACAGGCCCAGGGAAGTCTGGGAGTTTTGTGTTAAAACTATAGATTAGGGCTGCTGTTCATTCAGCTGCAGAGGAGACCTTTAAAAATCATCGCTGCCAACCCAGACATGGCACATAGGTAGTGACCAGAAGATGAGGAAGAAGAGAACCTCACAGCCTCAGCTAGGGTTCCGTACCGGCCCAATAACCTGCGTCCCACACAGACCCCACCTTCTGCTGTCTGGCCCACCCTCACCCTGCTCCCTGATCA